AAGCTGCACGTCTGTCAGGGCCTGATAAGCGGCAGTCTGTGTCAAAGCCTCGAGCAGTCCGGAACCTGAAAGCGACAAGGGTTGCGAGGTGCCGATTCATGTTGTGGGCCCAGGCTGGCTGCCATTGAGGGCGAGGAGAAGCTCGCATCGGAGATGGCAGTCCGCTTTGAGGACAGTCTTTTCCAACATGTGAGGTGTGGGCGGTGTGGATGTGTGTGGCTACACATGTTGCCGAGGCATCCGCTGGCACCGTGCTCCCAGACGGCCGAATCAAGCGAGATCGGGGTGTCGGCCGAGCTCGGGAGGAGGTCGGCAGCCGGGCACAGTCTACACATGTTTGCACTTGTTTCCTTGAAGTAAAGTGAATGCAGACTGCGGGGCCAGGGGGCCTTGCTTTGCGGCGCTCAAAAGTCAGAGAACGGCTTCAAGACAGCAGGATCCTCAGCATGCTCATTAGTTTGAAGCGGCAAATGCAAGCACTTGGCTCAGGCTAGCATCCTGTACAGCACGGGGCTCATGACAAAGGCATGGCCTGGGATGCCCATAATGCCAGGTGTCTGGCTGGGATTCCTGCGCATGTCAGGGGGGCAGCCTGACGCTGGAAAGCCTTGCCGGGTCATTCACCCAAGTCTGGCGAATTCGGGAACTTGAGGCAGCTGCTTGACGCCAATTCAACAAGTTCCTGTGTTGATGGAGAGTTTCGGAGGCGAATCCATTCGACAGCTCAACTCTACGCCCCCGACCCAGATGGTGGAATCTTGCTTAGCCGGTGTGGGGCCGTGTGAAGCTGTGTCGAGAGGTGCGGCAAGGAGAAACTCTTCTTTGACCCTAGGCCAGGCTGCAACACTTCTTTGGTCCTCTGCAGACTCTGCATTTGCCTTCGCACGGTGTCTTCTTTGGAGCACAGGAAAGCTTGCTTCGCCCTCCGCTGCTGTGGCACGAATTGCTGCGATGACCCCAAAGGGCAAAGGTAAGAGTGCTGGCGGCAAGGGCAAAGGCAAGGGCAAGCCGAGACCTTAGATAATAATGCCTATGCGCAAGGAGTTGCAAGAACACACGCATAACAACAATGCGCCTGCCAGGCCGGGGGGGAAGACTGCTCGCCGACCAGCGTCGCGCCACAGCCAGGATGGGGCTGGCCGCATCTTATTGCATCCCCAGCACTTAGTCATGCACAGCGGACTTTGCCCCCAAGGATATCTTTTCTTGCAAGTTCCATCGTAGAGCGCTCTGATGCTAGCCCAGGAAGATAGACTCGCTTTCACTGACCACACTCGAGCGTGCATCGCGTGCATTATGCGCCCTGCATCAGCCACCAGAATGCAGCCCTAGAACCACAGAAGGCTGCAGCTCAAAGAAGAACCCGGAGCTGTTGCGACAGACCAGGCATCTGCCAAGCAGACTTGGCAAAGCTAAACCAACTCCGCCACCACTGCCAGCGCAACCCAATACCCAGAGCTACCTGACACAGCAGTCTGCATAATGCATGCAGCCGGCAAGGTGCAGTGGCAACAAAACACTTTCCAGATTCATGCAGTTCACTGCACCCTGGGACCCGCACAAACGTGAGCTGCCCCGACTCCTGAAGGCAGGGCCTGCGTCCTTCCCTAACACGGGGCCATGCTCTCAGCATATGTGATCATGCACTCTATTCCAGATCCGCTGAACATTTGCACATGCTCTGCTCTCAACGACACTTGCATGGTAGATGCCAAGCTTTCCTTCTAGCTGAATGCTTAAGAGCACAGGACCCTGCTCATAATTTAGAACTTTGATGGCCATGTACTCTGTTACAGCCATGGGCCCGGACACCAGAGAACCTACAATGCTTACCCTTGCTAAGGATGTCCTGCCAAAGGAACCGTTCGCAATGCAAGCCACAAACAAGCTTTCAAGGACATGAAGGATGCCAGCATGAAGATGCAAATCTTAGTTCAAATGCCTCAATCTCGCCTTGCAATGCCTCAAGCCCTCCACGTATGAATTCTCAAAGATCATGTGGCCTGCGCAGTTTGTTGATCTCTGATCTTGCATACAAGCTTCCTGCACCGGTTCTCAGAGATTTAGATGGTGCCTACCCCACAGCTTGCCATGCTGCAATCTGAATTGAAGGAGCTTAATCATGAAAGAGACCGCCGCCCTTTTTCTGTTGCACTTGTGTTCGGGAGCTTTGCAGCCGTTGCCCGAGGCCGATTGGAGCCTGGTCAAGTGCGCGTCCTTCCCCAGCATTGAGAGGCCAGAATTTGCAGTGGAAGACCAAAGCATTTGCCCTCGCGATGAACTGTCAAGCAACGTAGAAAGGCTTACTGGCCGTGATGTGGTGAAGCTCAACATTTCTTCAAGCATCAGATCAGGCGCACCATCAAGCCTCATGCGGCCCCTTGCGACGCGTCCAAGGCATTTTTTTCGGTATTTGAAGCCCTGGTCTTGTTCTGGTGTTGGTTGTCAAAGCCAGAGGCTGGGAGGACCACCTCTTCGGGTCGGCGGGCCCCTGGACCGCAAGGCGAATGACCTCATCCATGGGCAAGTGTGGTTTCAATTGCGAGTTCTGCAGCAGGTGGAGCATCGAATTCCTCCGAATCGAGAACCTCGCTCCGGTAAGATCCCCACGGTGTGATCACGCAGCTGGTGCATGGAATTGGCAAAATGCTTACAAGCTCGAGTTAAGTAGGGCTCATGTTATCCAGCCCAGAGAATGTGCGAGACTTGTCCCTACACTTGATGATGTGGCCGGACCGAAGAGCAGAGGAAGCATTTTCCACGGGACTAGTCGCGATGGCAGACAACACAAGTGGCAGAACTGGATACAAGCTGCGCTTCTGTGGCAGAGGGCAGACAGAGCTCCGAGCAATGGGCAGAAAGATCACACCTGCATGTATGTAAAGCGTCAACGGCATTTTCCAAGCATCATCCGAAGAAGGGAGGAGTATGGCTGTGTGAGCTTGTCTGCAAGACAATCCCTTGCTTGCACGCAGAAGGTACAGCTGGACCACGTTCTGATCGCTTTCATGACCGCTTCCAAAGCCGAAGCATTACACTGAATCCCGCGCCGCGCCGCGACAGCCACCGCAGCGCGACGCGCTGAGACAGAGCCGACCGTCTCTTTGTGCCAACTTATCTGTCCCACTGTGAAGGTCTCGCGAAGAAGATCTCGATCTCCAGGCTTTATGCCAGCTACACGTGCGGATGATTGCGGATGTGAGCTTGGTGAGCATGACAGGTCCTCGGCCTCGCACAGAACCAATAGGCACGGAATTGAGCGCAGCAGGGAGCTAGGCACAGCTTCGCTTGGGCAGGTGCCCAGAAGGAGAAGCGTCACCGCAGCCGCAGTCGAAATCGCAGCCACAGGTCTCGAAGCAGGACTGATGCCAGCAGGGTGTCACGAAGCCAGATCTCCTTTTTTTCTGTGTTCAGGAGCCGTCGGCGGCGAAAGACATGAGTGTGCTACGGAGCCCTCACGGACATTGACAGTGGTCGAAAGGATCGTGACATGTCTCTTCAAAGTGGCGCAGCATTGCATAGCAGCAGCAACTGTTGCATGGAGTTTCGGGCTCTGAGAAAGGCATCTGCAAGCTCAAGACGCATGTGCTGCCTTTGCTCTCCTTGCTGTCCTCCCCAAAGCACCTGAAGCCCCGATTTGTTCCTTTGCAGGGTTGCATCCACAAGCACCTCGTAGCCATGGACTGCGGTGCTTGCGGTTGTAAGTTGGTTACAAGCACGGCGCCTAGAGTTTGGAGGCCACTGCTGATCTTCGAGTAGTATATTTGTTGTTGTGCCATGAGGCTTTCTCATCGCCACAACGACCGCAATTTAAAGACAGGCAACGCGCGTTGCTAAAGGAAGACCGCTATGCTGTCGGGACATCAGTTTTCTTCCATGTGCCGCCACGTTTTTTTGCCTCCTTGCCCCAGATACCCCATGCAGTCGATGAGCTCAGTCTTTTTCGGGCATGCGCTACACCGCTTTGTTCAAAGAACATAGAAAGAGTCAACTGTTACACCTCGAAGACAAAGCGCTCAGACTATGTGCTTCGACCTCGAGGTGTGCCAGTCAGACCAGCGCAAGTGCCAAGTGCAAGTTCAGCTCCGATCATAAGGTTCTGCGACTGCGCGAATCGTCTTCAGGCTTTTGCCCACAGGTTTGAACTGTGGCCAGGGTGAGTGAGATTTGCAGCGTCAACTGCAATTTGCATGGCAATCGTTGGCTAATGTTGGCTACAAAAAAATGACTCACAGAAATACTTGCAAGAAGACTCACCTGGGCCCCATTCTCCCCCCTCAGACTCCAAGCACTTGCGCCTCAGGGCCTCCTCATACAATGAAAGGGGGGTACGCGCATTAGAACCAAGCAAAATGGGACTTCAGGGGAGTCGCAAGACACTCGAAATGTCAATGCATCACGAAAGGCCCCGTAAGTCAAAACTTTTGGAGCGGTGATGTCGCTACCAACAGTTGTTTCGTAGTTATGCAACCCAGAGATCAAACCTCCCGAAAAAGATACCCTACAGCGACTGGCAGTATAGATGTTGCCGTAAGCAAAAATTTGGGGTTCGTAGGCTGCCGTAAGGAACATACTTGTTGCGCCGGAATCACACCACTGAAAGCTACGGGTGGCGATGTTTGAAGTGGACAATTCTTGCGAGTTTTTTGCGCCCTTGGTAGAGCAGGTTGCAGCGAAGAGAAAGAAGGATCCACTAGCACTAGCAACAGCCCTTCTGCGGAAGCTTCCGTAACAAATGGCTTGAGTCCTTAGGCTTTGGCCGCCGTGCATATTCACATCTTGCGCTGCTTTAGCTGGAAAACCGTTGAGGTCTGAGTGCACGGATGTCCCACCTAATTGGTGAATGCCGCGACTTGCTCAAGCAATGTCAAGCCATGTTCAGACTGGGACCCGTTTGATCATTCAAGAGTGTCAACTGGACCACGGTGCGAACGCAGCTTGGCAGAGTAGGGGCCGGGGTCGTGGAGTAGGCGCCTAACGCGCCTCATGGCCAGGGTGTGATGATGTCTGACGTGCCTTTTGGTCCTTTGGGAGGCCTGCCGTTTTGGATGCAGCATGCTGCACAGAGAACATGTTGCTTCCAGATATTTCGCCAAAAGAGAAAGTCATGGAAACCTGTGAGGATCTTTTCTCCTCACTGGATGTGAGGACGCAGTTCGAACCTCAGTCGCCCAGGACGATTACCTGCAGCTGCAGGATGTGGTTGCCCACTGCTGTTCTTTCAGTCACGCTTTCCTACCTGTTAGGCATACCAGCAGTGTCCGAAGAAGTGTCCGAAGCAGAAGCGCAGCAGCTGGGTGGTCCTGTCTATGGTTGCAGCGGTGGCCTTGTGCCTTTGTGTGCAGGGCTGTGGTGGCCAGAGTTTTGAGAGCCTCGAACAAGCGCAGCAGGAGATATGCGTAGACTTGGCAGACCCTGGGCAAGCGTGCCTCGACTACTGCTTGGATTGCATTGCCAACTACCATGGATCCTATGAGCAGATAGGCCGCGACTTCAACCGAGAGCTTGTGCAAGGCTGCGGTAGTGCCAAGGTTTGTCCTCCGGCTGGGTTTATCCCTGGATAAAGCAGATTCACAGACGGCATCAGACGGCCCTGTTTCACTTTGCAGATTCCTTCCCTATAGGGGAAGCCAAGCCCTGGGTTTCGTAAGCTACCGTAGGCAAATTCCATACCGTGAAAGAATTCAATAAAGGTGTTGAAACCTGCTCAAATGGCTTGTTGGCCAGCATGCTGTGCGCATCTTGTGTTTCATCTACTGCCAGTACATGGTGAAGCTCCCCCTGGCGGCTTGTAATGCAAAGTCCAGGTGCTTGTTGCGGTTTAGTCTTGTTACTGGGATTTTGCTACCACTTTATGTTGGGCAGCATTAGCTTTGTTGGGCAATGAGATGAGAGCTCAACAACAGTTTGGGGTAGGGCTGGCACAAGCGCATGCAACGACTCTTCCACGTCGAAGAGCCAGCAGAGACGAACATGCTCCGGCGCAAGACTCTGCTTTCAGAACAAACGAAACAGGAAGTTCTACTGGCCATTGACCCGGAAATCCAGCAGGAATGGCAGTCGTCCTTGGCCATATATGCAGCAGATGATTTTTCAGGCTGCTGGCACGTGCATACACTTAGCTCCGCTCCATGATAGTCCCAAACTAACTCGATGATTCACACGTCCCATCGAGGCTGGGTTGCCCTGCCTGCAAGGACAGCGCTTCAAGCGTGACGTCCGCTGCGCAGGCAGCTGCCCGGGCAGGGCCCTGCAACTCAGCTTCGCGATTGAGGCGCTTCCGGCAGCCACTCGGATCTCCGGCCTAATCGTGGCTGTCTCCTCTTCATATCTCTTCATGGCTGGCAGCTGCAGCGGCAGTCACTCGGATGACATGCATGGCCCCCTTTTTTCCCACACCCCAGTTGTGTCTGCAACAAGGGGCACGAATTGCACGCCCTGCTGTACGCATGTGCATGCAATGTCATGCTCTGCCTTCACCAGCACGTAGTGCACGCTGCAGTATGTTCTGCTCCGATCATGGGCTTCTGAGTTTCCAGCACTGTTTTCCTGAGCTGTGTCTTGATTCCCTGATGACGTCTGAGTCCAGGTTTACATGTGCAGTACAGGCCCAGGTTCACGTGCAGTCTAAAGGCCATTGGCTCGGGATGGTGTTCCCCAACAACAGCTGCAAGACTCTAAAGTATCAAGCCAGAGTCAAACGTCAAGGTCTGTCTGCGCTGGGGTAGGTTTGGCTTATGGCCAGCGCACACAGCTAACCCTAAAACCTAAATCCACGTAGCATGTTTCATTGTGTGTGTGTGTGTGACCCTTGCGCATGTCTTGCTGCTTCAGGCCCCTGCTTGCGTGTTTCAGGAATCCTGGACAGGTCATATTCGCACTGCAATTTTGAACCTCCTGCCCGCCCCCAGATGGGGAAGTGGGCCGCAGTAATTTCCGCTTGGTATTTCGACTTGCAAATCCCTGGGAAGGAGGGATGCCCCTCCTTCCCCTTCGATTAGTTCAGATCTTTGCAGCCAAAAGGGGGTTTTCACCCATGCCCCATTCATTGGTAGTCAGGTAGGTACTGAGGTTTAATCAAGAATGTGGCTAGAAGCGCATGGGGGTGATTGCCTGATCCTAAGCATCTGGATAGACGGATCTGCTGGGGAAGCGCACCAAGCGTTCACAGGTGAAAGGTCATGCAGGCTTAGTTCGGCTCGCGCTTACATCCTGTGCTTACTCTTCAACATAATGAAGGCTGCCTCGTTTGGAGAGCATGTGATCTCTTTTGTGGGCTTCAGCTTACGTCTGGCTGAGAAGTCCCAGCTGCATCCATAGCATATGCTGGCTCAAGGATGTACAGAGCAATCAACAGCAAGTGCAAGGGCTCCGCCAACTGAAGATAGCAGACCAAGAACGTGAAGCAGAACGCGGGGGGTGTTTGCGAAGCTTCCGTGTGGCCCCCGCTAAAGCGGCAGCCCCGGGTTTTCCGATGTCCGAATGCCTCAGCGACAATGGGCCGGCCGCAGCCTCGTAGTGCTTCTCTTCAGCTGCTGCATGCTTAAAGGCATTTTGAAGAGTTCTGCTTGCGTCTATGATACGAGAGCATCTATTTTGAGGCCAGGGCCGTGGCTCTCGGCAAGCCTGTCCTGGAAACCCAGAGCTAGCAGCTGAGAAGGTTTGACGAGGGAAGTCTTCATTCGCATTCATGGAACTTCGACAAGGCAAGATGTGGGTTGATGACATACAGGCAGAATGCCAACTCATGGCCAGGACTCTTAGTTGATGACGATGTGTTCCCCCTTTAGTATTTGCCTCTTGAGCATGTCAGGCCTTTGCAACGCCAGATCCGAAGATAGAAATCATTGCTGCCAAGGGCTGAGTACGGCCATGGGGCATCCTTCTAGGTCACTTGGAAGCTCGTTCAAAATGCCGAGGTAGTAAAGGGAACGCCGACTGATGCCGATGCCCAGCCCCTGGGTCTGTGCAGAAGGAGTGCCGCGTTTCATGGAGACGCTGTTTGCTGATAGCAGTCAGGGAGTTCCTGTACGAGTGCATTCGGAATGCTTTACTGGTGACGTGCTCGGGTCACAGCGTGGGAAGCTCAGTCAACAAAGCCGATGGACCCTTCAATGCCACGCATGCTATGCTGCACCTGCAGGCTGCGATTGTGGGCAGCAGCTGCACAAGTTCATGCGAATAATGAACGACTCGCTGGCTCCTTAGACGTCTTCAGTCCTTGGAGCACCAGGAGGACTACCGACCGAACTGCTCCTTCACGTCCGTCTCTTCCTTTCACAGGCTGTCACAGCCTAGTTTGCGGAGCAACTTCTGCCACCCTTTTTTGCAGGCAGATATTTTGCCACATAGCATCAACCTGCAGATTTTCGCCATCCACACCTGATTTCCTGCATCTAGCCATGGCCTTGCGTCGAAGAGCTCTGACGACTTGTCTTTGCAGACTACGCATCGGGACGGCTGCCTTTTGGCCTGTCTTGATGTCATCAGACACTCACTCAATCACTAGGGCGGGTACAGGTTTAGCGCGATGGCAGAGACAGGAAGGGAATCCACCGAACACGGAAGGACCAAACAGCACATCCAAACATGCTCGAGGCTGAAAAGATCACAGGACTCGTATCCAGCAGACAAAGGAGCCTGGACGCATGTGCTTTCGATGAAGTTTCATTCGTTGCATATTAGCTCGCTGCTGCTCAATGTCCCAAATTCAGGGTTGTGGCGTTTTGAAGAGGGCAGGGTAGATGAGTTAATGTTCAAAGGCCGGAAGCTTACAAAGCTCGTTTTGGATGTGGGCATTGTTGGAGAACTATCGTGCATGGTATCCTCATGTCATGTTCACCCGTTGCAAAACTGCTTCGCGTTCAAGGTGGCGGAAGGCCGGGTGGATGGCGGTTGGTGCTGTACCAATCATGAGGCGCTGAGCCCGCATAATATCAGGCGCCACCAGCTTGTCAAACAGGATTTCGAGAGCTTCCCAAAAGGCATTCACAAGGCCAAATGGATTTTCGGAACTTGCCAAACTGAACTTTGCCAGGTTGGGCCGCAGGTCTGCCATGTCAACAAGCATTCATCAGAGCACCCGCGAATTTAGATGCCACAGACCAAAATGCATACCAGGTTCCCACAACGCATTTTCTGGTTCCTGTTCAGTCGGGTGACCCCAGACTCCCAAGCGGAGCTTCCTCTTCCCATCCCCCCAGGCTCTCAACTTTTAAGCCCTACGCACCAAGATGCAACATGCGTTTTGCAAATTCCAAAATGCATTTCAGAGGCCCGGCGCTTTTGAAGGTGAGGCCCCTGTCTCCACCAACTGGCTGGAGTCACTACCATTTTCAGAGTGCACCGTGTACTTCCCGACGGGGCCGGCGGAAGATTTTCAGAAGATTGGCGGAAGCGTCATGAGTGTTGATGTCTACGGAGCCCATTCCTTGCATGTGCCAATTCAGAAACAGACTGCCCAATCCACTGATGAGGACGATCTTCCTGAGAAGCCTGAACATGCTTTCTCAGCGCCTCATAGAATGCATGTGTGTTTACAATCCCCCCGCTCTTTGGGGATGAGGTTTGGTGGAGCACCCCTTCCTCTGCCTGGCGGAACCAGCCAGCTGACGCGTTGCTTATGTGCTGTGCTGGCGCAGTAAATTACAAATCCCGACTTCGCACCAAACGTTTCAATCTGCGTTCATCGCTCGAAGTGGAAGCCATTGGAGAGACAGGACCAACAATCCAAGTAACGGACGGCCACCGCGGACAGGCGGATAGCATGCCTGTCTCGGCCTTCCAAAAACCTGTGCAGCGTTGTTCCAGTACCCAATGCTTGCTAACACAAGCAATGTTGAACATAGATTTGAAAGCTTCCCAAATTGCATTGACTTTTCCGTGTTGTGATTATCAGAAGGGATCACAGCAACACAGTCCTCTTCCATGGCACAAATAAAGTCATGCTAAAAGCTTGCAAAAAGAAGGATGTGGAAGGCCAGGCGGGAGGTGTTTTCTTGGGGGAACCATGCTGCCTTGCCATTGGAATTACACCCATGCCAGTCTTTGATTTGAGTTTGGGATAGTGATGTGTCTTTGTTGCGCTCCATTGATTTCATGGAAGGTTCAGGATTAGGGGTATGCCGGACTTGGACCGTTTTGGACTCTCGCATGTTGTCTGAAGCTTGAGGATCTCAACGTTCAGGTGGCGCAGAGTTTGGCGGTTACCTCCCGCTCAGGGTCCAGGTTCCAATGATCTCGCCTTTTGCCCCTACCTGTAGGCAAGAATGATTGCAGGCAGGGCAGTTCGATATCAACAGTTCTGTTGATATTGTGCAGCAGAGTTTTTCCCGAGACCTGATAGAAGTGAAGAAGGTCCAAGAAGCCTTACAGGATTTGATTCTATTTGACTTTCATGCGCTTAGGGCAGATCAAATGTAATCAATGTGAATCTTGCTGAAACACGTCAATCAGGGCTGCAGAACATTCGCATACTTTCAGATATTTGCTATGCGTTCCAAACTATATCAGAGTTGGGGTTTGGGGTCAGGATGGTAGAGGTTATGGACGATCATGGACGATTCGTGTGGAGTGGTTGAAGCAGTTGTTGATGTGTCGAGGGCTTGAAAGGTTTAGGGGCTTCAAAGTCTCCCTTTTCAATGGTTGAGGTTCCGGGTTTCAGGGCTGGTGGGGTTTAGCTTTGGTTGTACTGTAGAGCTTAGAGGCTTCCAGCAGACAAGCATGGACAGACACTCAAGCGCCCAAGTGAATGATGCGCGACAGCTGAAGGCCTACTGTGACACTGTCGATTCAAGCATGTCCAGGGGTTCGAAACGGGCCCCAAAGTCTCGTGCTTCGCAGGAGATGGCCAGTGTCAGAATGGCTGTTGTCGTGAGTTAAAAGTGGTCGCAAGTAATTGTGCGCGGTCCACATGTTTCGCCGCTTATCCATGTTGCGCGGCGGCTGCAAGTGCCATCAGCTGGGCGAACGAAAAAGAGCTGTTTGAAGCTGGGACTTGACTTTTGGTAGGCTACCATGGACAAACCTGCAAACTCGATACAATTCACGTTCGAGAAAGCTATCATAATTTTGGTCGCCGGTCATGTTGTGTCCGTGCACGCTAAGGTCTTGTGCAGTTCTGCTGTACATTCGCGGCCAAGAAGGGCAGGACACCCAGAAACAATGTCCAACCATGTCAGCTTCATGCACTGAAATGCCAAGGCGTGGCATAGGTCTTTTTTCAAAAATACGCGCGGCACTTGTTTGAAATATGCTTGTGAAGACTGAATAGGCGCCTGTTGGTGAGGTGCATACCATCTTCAGGACCAAGGTCATGATACGGTGGACGCCAATTTAAAGCTTGGGCTTCCCGTTCCCCACTCAGTGCAGCTCCAAACATGCCTTCAGCCGCGCCAGCGCAGCCCAGGTGGACATTCGCAGCTATGAGGATGCCCTTCAGATCTTGCAACACCTCGGGCCAGGGGCTGTGCAGTAAATTCTTCGAGTGTTTGACCTCCAACACGGTGTGTGTAGTGCGTGTTGGGATAGAGGCTGAAGTCTATTCGGCTGTACACGAACAATCCGGACAAGATGTCCGCACTGAAGAGCATCACTCAACAGGCAGTGGCCATATGCCTTTCATGTAAAGCAAGCTGTTTTTTGCCAATGCCAATGCTTTGTGCAGGTGCAGGCACTTGCATCCGTGCCCAGCCAACACAACATCGGCTACTTGCAGACCAAGCGGGAAAGGCTGCGGCGAGTGCCGGCTGCCTCTGTGGTTATGCAAGCCTTGACGTGTGAGGCTGAACCACCGAACCGTCTTGGAGACCTTTAAGCTGCCGGAACTCGGCCCATGCCCCTAAGCGACAGAGATCTTTTGCCATGTGCCCTGCCGTTTGCCTGCAAGGCCTGGAGCCTTCGGGACTCCGAATAGGAGTCGTGTACACCACGTGGAATCAGTACTTTGCCGGGTGCTTGGCCTTTCGCTTCAAGCTTGCTTTGCGGGCCAGCTATGCAGCTATGGGCTAGAGCTAGCTTTAGGCAGCGGTTGGGTGTTTCTTCTGTGTAAGGTCGATGAGCTGGTTACATTTGCAGAAGCGGAGCTGACAAGTGCAAGCCTGATCCAAGATTTCCATCTTGTAATGCAACCTCAGCTTTTCACAATTTCTGAGGCTCTGGCGCCCAAACTTTGAAAATGGCTCCGGCCCTGAGCATCCTTGCCTTAAAGCTATTGAGTGGCACAACTTTACTGAGACTTGAGTGAGGCAGTGCCCGGAGCCTGCGAGCTCATTAGCGGCAGCAGAATCACCTTGAGCCAGGGTCTCACTGCATCCAGGAGTCCAAGCGCGTAAAATGTGAAGAATGTTTCCACAGGGCACCACAAGCCTGACGCTGTGATCGCCAGACGCTGAGAGATGCCACTGTAGATCATGCTGTGCCGCAAGGCTTCACATGTCAACGGCAGTCAGTGATACATACATACATACATACAT